CAAAAGAGTAATTTTCTTATTAAAAATTTTCCCTCCCATCCAAATTCCTCCACCTTTGGAAGGGAGAGTATTTTTCCTTGGAGGAGGGATTTGAAGGGAAAATTATAACCCTTCCCCCTACATAAAATTGAACCAAACAATGGAAAATTAAAAAATTCCCTCCCCTCCGATCCCTTTCCCTCCCCACCGTTTCCCCCGAATCAAACACTGCCATAGAGAAGTGGACTTATACAATACATTTCACCCTAAAACACAGCTATAATATCCTTAGCAAATAATTAAATTAGTTTCAAATCTAAGAATTGCAAACTTCATTCTACCACTAGATTTTCAAATAAGGTACATACTCTCTTTCGTTTCCCACATACTTCATTCGTTCATGACCGGTTTGATGTGCAGAAGATTAATATATCATACATTGTGACACATTATTGAGAGATCACGAGATCTTGACACGTGACTGATGAACACATGTTATTATGATTACAGTGTACAAGTTAATGTTTTCGCGCGATTATAGGGAGAAAAATATACTTACAAAAAGTATAAAATCGATCAAAATTCAACGTAGATACGAAAGCCAAAACAAGAAGATTTGCATTTTTGGAAGGGTCTCGTTTCCCTTATACTATTTCATCAAGGTAACTTTTGACCAACATATACATATAGAAATTATGTGCGAAGAAACTTACATATGTATACACATCAATAATTCAACTACTCTTTTAGCACACTACGTGAACTTAGACATTACATTTTGATTTTTTTTTTTTTGGTACAAAAAAATATAATAGTAGAGGACCCCGGATTCAGTTGAAAATTTTTCAACTGACAATACGATGTTCGTCCAAACCATCTAATGAAACTAGAAAAAAAACATTGAATTTCAATGAATATATCAATACGATGAACGAATTTTTATGCTATGCCATAAAGTTCGTAAAATTTAACCATATACACATTAAATATGAAAAGTTAATGATAATTAATATTCAAATTCTTGAGGTTTGCTCGTGGAACTTTGGTAAATAGATCCCTATAATATAATTTTTGTGAACTCTTACACGTAATATCTCAACATAATTTTGATAGAATAAGGCTTACATAATCATCTTCCATGCCGTAATTCTAAAAAAATATTCGCTCGAGTAACCTTGAGCTATCTTTCTTGCTCATTTATAAATCTTTTTATTTTCCACAAGTAAAATGATGGTATTTTTTTGGGAGATAGAATAATTTATATTAGTAAATTAGAATTAATTTGTATTTCGACAAAGGAGAATAAAATAAAAACTTGAACAGATCAAATGGTTTATTGGTTTATTACATTGGTTTATTGGTTTAATACATTGGTTTTTTCATCTCGACTATCAGGCTACATGCATATAGTATATACGAAGAGAGATGAGATCTTACGATAATGGTAAATAATGAAAGAAATAAGAAAAATTTTGGATCGTTAGATCTAACATATCAAATGGTCACGATCAAATCAAATTTTATATATGACAGCCAAATAAGGCATGACAATTTCATAAATAAGTGGTCATATTGTTATCAAATTATATAGATACTAGTACGTATCCCGTGCGATGCACGGGACAAAGATATTAAATGAGTTATTTTCACATCCTTGTCCGTTTAAGTTTAAAAAGTAATAATGTTATTATCAATTTTCTACCTCTTTTAATCAACGTTAAGTCTTGAAAACTATTAAGCCGCCCTCTGGCAAATATGTATGGAGTTATGTGTTCGTGTCTCATAAGTCACAAACATTATGAATAACATTACAAATTATTCATTCAAACTTTTATTCATTGCAAATATATTAAAATAGTTTATATAACATCCATTAAATACCACTTTCAATATATTTATAAATAAAAAGTACATAAAATTTCTGGTGTGTTCAAATTTAAATAATTTTTTATGGACTCAATTTTAAATCATCCAAATATTTGGTCAAACGCATAGGTGTGTTCAAATTTAAATCATTGACATTTTGATCGGTTGAAATTTAAATCATCTATCATGGTACTGTGATGCGTATTATATATATACAATTTTTTAACAAATAATATGTGCTTTATAAAAATAATAATAATAATTTCACAAGATTTTAAACGTAAAATTTGATTTTTTAATCACAATAGAAAAATCATGATAAGTTGTATTGAAAATGTGTTATGAGATAAAACAATTAACTAAAATAATTAAATAAAATACTTGATAGAAATAAAATGCATTAATTATCTTTGACTTTTCTTATTACTAATTCTAGTAAATAGAATGCCTTTTATATAAGTATAGATGTGCATGTAAGATTTTTTAAACTATTTTATAAAGAAAACATGTCTAAAAATAATTAAACTTAACATGTGTTACGTATATGTGAGTATATATATATATATATATATATATATATAGAATATGTAAAAGAATATGTCTGAACATTTTGTTTAAGTATCTAAAATATTATAAGCCTAAATAAAGACATTATCTCACGCTAAAGTTGTTTTAGAGAAGATTTATAAGATACCGACGAAGAGGGGTTGACGTAGTGGCGTGTACCTTCACTCGGCGTGTACCATGTCCCGAGTTCGAGTCACCCTGGGGGGAATTGGGGAACCAGTATTGATCCCCCTTTTTTTTTTTAAAAAAAAAGATTTATAAGATACCATAATTATGAGGTTACTTCCATATGAAGATTTGACTACACAATATTTCAAAAATTACTATCATTTTTTTAAGTTGTTACCATAAAAAAGAATTTGTACGCTTAATAATTTATCAATTTTACAAATACAAATTGAAATTAATGCAAAAGCTATCAATTTTACAAATACAAATTGAGATTAATGCACACCAAAAATTATGTGACAAATAAAAGAATTTTATATGTAATTGAGATCAAAGACGAACACTGAAGACTGTTTCTATTAACATTTACAATGTGTATTTAATATTTTTTTTGGGTAAAATATTCTTTCTAAGTGTGATATATAAATATTAAAAATACTTAAAATATTTTATAACATCTATAAAAGCATCTAAAATATTCTATATTATTCACAAATAATGTTTGAAGCTACCTAAATTTTTCTAAACTACACGTAAGAAAAACATGTTAAAAATTCTTCACTTAACCTCCATATATGTATATATATAGAGAGAACAAATGTGTAAAAAAATTTATACAAATAATATTTAAAGTATATAAAATATTAGTAATTAGCAAGGTGAAATTTAGATTTTTAAAAAAATCTAAATAGATAATGGATTTATAGTAGCAATTAGACTTTTATTTATTTATCTTTAAAGTTGTTACGATAGATGAGGGATGTGATTTTTTTGTGGAATTTTGTAAGCTGTGTTATGAAATTTTCTTAAACTCGTCAATATTTATGCAATGAGTTTTTTGAGCTGTGTATATAGATTTAAAATTGTAAAAAAAAAAAAAAACTTTCATAAATCATTTGATTTGGTATTTTCGGAGAGCTTCATTAATTTAAAAGTGTAAAATAAATAAAAAAAGTACAACTGAAAAAATTACAACCAATTGTATAGAGAATTAAACTAAATTCAATTTTGTAGGATGCATTAAATATATTAGATTTTATATGTAAAATAAAATAAAAAATAACGGAAATAATTTTACGTGTTGTAATATTTTATTATTTAAAAAAAATTAAAAAAATCTTCTTTTACGTGTTGCATACCAACATTTTAGGAACTACATGGATATTCCTAAATTAATATTGCATACCCAATATTTTAGGAACTAATTAAATGCTAATTTGATTTGCATACCCAAAATATTAGATGCATTAATTAAATACTTGATAAAATTAAAAATTCATTAATTAAGTTCGACTTTTCTAACTACTTTATTTAGTAAATATGATCACCTTTAATATAAGTATATAGATTTGACCACTCACTAAGGGTATTTTGGTCATTAACAACCAACCTCAATCACCTGGTAAACCCCACACACAACCACTAACCTTAATCTCACCCTGTCTCACACACTCACACAAAACACACACACTAACTCACGCACATGCACACACAATCACACACACTGACTGTGGGGGCGCACACGCACGCGCACACACCCACCCACACACACACACACACACTAATTGCACATCAGCCTCCCGCAACCCGCCTTCTGCTGCCCACCGCGCGCGCGCCTCTTGGCACGTCCTGCGGAGAAAAACGATCTAACCCCCACCACACTACCACCGCCCCAAGCCCAACCCAAAATACGGCCAGGCCCGGCACGCCTGCCATCCCCTCGCCCACGCACCAAGGGCAAAGGGGACAAGGAGGAGAGCCCACACTCCTCAACCCCAACCACCCACAAGCCGTCGGAGCCACGCCCAGTCCCATAGGAACACCCACACACCTTCCGCCGCCCGAAAGATCGACAACCTTCGGCCCAATAAGGCGACCAGGAAATTCGACATCGGCCTCAAGAAAAAGAGAGTCGCGCGGCAAAGAGGTGGCCATCGTCGGGAGCTTGGTGTCCCGCTGGAGAAAGTCAAAGGACGCTTGAAATTAGGTCACAAAAAAATGGGAAAAAAGAGCGAAAGTCAAGAGTATGAGAGATTCTTTGGGAGAGCTTTGCCGCCCTTGTGGTCCTACCCGGCTCGATTCCGAATTAGTCGGTTTCCCTGTAAATCCGGAAACCGGAAGGTCATGTACAAAAAAAAAAAATGAACACTTGTAAAAGACAATTTTTGGAGAAGAAAAAAAAAAAAGAAAAATTGTCAACCGTGAGCAATACATCAAAAAAGTGGCGGCACTGTCAATTTATTACATCTATACAGCTACCGATTCTGAAATATATGCGCCACAAAATTCCAAACCCAAAATTTAATGCACTCAGATTTCTCCATTTTTTTTTTGTTTTTTCATTTGTCAAGTTTTTCCCCCAAAAAAGACCTGAGAATTTGAGCTCTCTTTTCTGCGCAGTGTTAGATTTTCACAGATTGATGAATAACAATCAGCAGCAGAATGTGCAGGCGGGCCCCGGTTCGGGCCTTACCCGGTACCGGTCCGCGCCGAGCTCTTACTTCGCGTCCATGCTAGACGGACCCCCAAGCGACGCCGTATTCGGCGGAGGTGATTTTGACCATCTCGTCAGCCCGCGAACTTCCTGCCCGGAGGCCCAGACGGTTCTTTCCCGGTTCACGGGCAGCACGGATACCGTTCGAGGAAATTCCTCAGCCACGAACGCGCGGCTGAGCTCACAGCTGCCGGCTGTGGCAAAGGCGGAGCCGCTCCGTCAGTCTCATCAGAGACAGCAGAGCAACGATTACACGTCAGCCTCTCCGGCGATGTGTCACGAGTCCCGTGGTGCTGTGGAGAATTCGTACCGCGGGTTAATGGGTCCTTACGGCGCTTGTCGGCTGAAGATGGAGTCTGGCAGCGGAGGTAGTACTGGCCTCCTTCGTCACAGCAGTTCACCGGCGGGGCTATTTGACGACATCGATGTAGAAGCTGGTAAAAATTACTCACGAAATTACAATATTTGTTTATAAATATATTAATTACTCACCTGATTGATGTGTTAGCTTGAGTAGCATTAATACGATGGAAATTAAAGACCCTCACATTGTTGCATTTTATTTGTCTGGTGATGTTTGTGTTACAACTCATGCAATATGATTAGATCAGTTTAGTCAGATTTGGTTCTTGATGCATTAAGTTATTCATCTCCCTTAATTTCGGTAAGAATTCGAGAGAGATACGCAGTTAATCTTGTTTTGCAATCCATCTGAGTTTGGTGATAATAGTAACAGTAAAGCTAATGCAGAGGCATCATCATATTCATCTGCAGGCAGGTTCAAACGTCAAATGAATTTCTCGTCGAGGTACTCTTCATCCGGGATGATGAACACGATTCCCGAAAACAATATGGAAAATCGACACTTTAGCCGAGACAGTGGTAATAATGTCGACTACATCACGGGCCTTCCCATGGGTTCTTGGGATGATTCCAATTGTTTTCTACAGGGGCTGCCGGATAATAATGAGAGTAGAAGATTTTCGAATGCAAATGCCTTGGACGATCAGGTTTGCCTTTTTGTCCGAGTTTCTTCTCTTTGTTTTTTCTTTTGGTTTACTAAGCTGACTGAAAACGAAAATGAAAATTCGGTATGTGGCAGAATAACGAAGGTGGAAATCGGGCCGCAACCCGTTTATCTCATCACCTGAGCCTGCCCACAAATTCGGCAGAGCTAGAAAAGATTTTACAAGACACGGTTCCATGTAAAATGAGGGCGAAAAGGGGTTTCGCCACTCACCCTCGCAGCATTGCTGAAAGGGTAATAAGCGTTTTTTTAACAACCTAAATTTTATTTTCTATTTATTTATTTATTTTTTTTCGGGGTAGGTAAGGGGCGCAAGATTGATGCGAATGAATATTATGGAATTTTGTTTCAGGTGAGAAGGACCAAAATCAGCGAACGAATACGAAAGCTCCAAGAACTCGTGCCTAACATGGAAAAGGTGATGCCTTTTTCTAATCTTTTTTGTTCGCGTGATCAGCCAAATCTTGTTCGTTCGGTTTTTATCTCGTCGAGTTAAGAGTTAAATTTGAAAATTTTCCAGCAAACAAATACATCTGATATGTTGGACTTTGCAGTCAATTACATTAAGGATCTTCAGAGGCAAGTAAAGGTAACCACTTCTTAGTCCTCAAGCATTAACTTTACCCACTTTAGCATCTCTCTGCAAATTGTCGTTTTCTTATAACATCTTGTTTTTATTTTTTTTAGACGCTCTGTGATAACCGTTCGAGGTGCTCCTGTCCGGCTAAACAGAATCTATAGTACTAATGGCTTCTCACGAATCGGAATGAATGCGAATACTCTCTGGCACCGAACCGCGAAAAAGGGCGTGTTCGATTTAGCATTTTGGTTGGGTTTTACAAGTAAATTCAGCCCAACTTTTGCTTATATGAGGTGAAGTGTTCAAAAAAAGAATAAAATGATGAGAACAAAAATGTTAGCTTTGATGAACTGTTACAATATGCAACAACAGTAATAATATTGGGGGCGTCAAGTAGAAAAAGTGATGGAATTTGAATAATGTGGGGTTTTAGCAATAATAATGCTTTTAAAATTTGCATCGCACTAACTAACTAGTGCAAAGCACCATTCCATTTATGGTAAGTAGCACTCAGATTATGCTAGCACAATTATTATTATTATTATTATTATTATTATTATTATTATTATTATTATTATTATTTATTTTTATTTTTTTTTGGTTTTGCGAACAACTCATTTAAGGTTTTGGATTTGTTAAAAGAGCTGAGGTGAGCTCTTACGAATTTAAACGAGACAAAATCGAGGCGAACATTTTGTTCGTTTATTAGTGAGTCAATTTGTTTATTAAATGAGGGCGAGTTCGAACACTCGGCTCGGCTCGGTCTAGAAACACCCCCAACACTATTAATAATTTACTGTTTTACTGCTGTCGTTTTCACTAGTAGTGGACGATTTTTACTCTTGTGGACATTGAGCACCATATCTCATCCTATTGGAGTGTACCCTGTGTTCTACTTATTTTTAGGCTAAGTGGAATGTCCAGTGTCATGTACAATTGTACATGCACTAGCGATTTTATTTTTTTTTTATTTTATTTTTTATCTACCAACAGTTTTTTCCGTCTCATCCCCTATATATTATTCCCGAACGCGTTGAGCCTACGTGGCTGCTTATGGTTCTTTGAAAACCTATATGGCAAAATTACATGCTTCGTTATTAAGTTGGGGTAAATTTTAACTTAATTCCAAACAAAAAATAATTAGGTTCGGATTACCATAAATATGTTAATTTTTTATTGTCATGTTATATGTATTAATTACGTTTTAATATCATTCATTATTATAACTATTGAATTGTATATATATTTTAAAAGTTAATAAGTTTTGTATTTTTTATCAGTTTTACATATGTAATATATCAAATTAATCTTCTTTTGATGAGCTTCGGTTTAACATCCATATTGTATGTATAAAAAAATAATTTATATTATCTATATAACAATAATAAAATAATTTTTAATATTAATTAGAAAAATAAATTTTTTTTATCAACTAATATATTTATATTTCAAGTAGTTATATGATATAAGTTATAAAAACTAATATAATATAACACATATAAGTCATAAGTAACACATATTATTCTAAAATATATAGTAATATATTTTTTTTGTAAAAAAGTAAACTAAATTTAATATAGTTTTCTCATTAATTTTAAAATTTAAGAATAATTTTTTAACAAGCACTCGTGTAATACACGGGTGTGGTACTAGTAATATTATATTGGACAATATACAATCAGTTGTTTTTAGTTTTCCAAAGTGATGTGTATGATAAAATAATTTTGTTTGAAACAAAACATATATAAACCTCCTCTCTCGCCACTAATACCCTAATTCCAAAAACTTGTCGACGTCGTTTCCTCCTTTTCGCCTCCGTTTGGCCTTCCCCGGCGATGGCGGGGCTCGGCCAGCAGTCGTCTTTGACCGATTGGCCCACCCCGTCGTCTCTTGCCTCTGATTTTGCTCCATTTGCTTGTCGCAAGCCGTCCTTCGCTAGTTCAGGCGGGGCTTGTGGGCTCGAGTCTTCGTTCTGGTCCAGTGGGTGCTGTTGGTGAGGTCATCGCTCTGGTGTTGTCGGCGTCGTCATCGCTCTGGTCCAATCGGGGATTGTGGGCTCGACGGATTGCGATGCCGCGACTCTGGTTCTGTGTCAGTGGTGGTGCTTGGTCGGGGTGTGGGCCGGTGGGTGGTTCGTAGCTTCGATGGTTTCGATGTTTTGTGTCGGGGCGATCAGAGCTGAGGGACTACGCCGTCTCCTCTTCTTTGGTCTTTTGGTGTTGGGGACGAAGGGGAGCTGGGGCTATTGAGTTCAGCTAGTGGTGTTAGAAGAGCTCGGGCAGCGCCAGTGTTGGGAGTCGGCTGTGGTTCTCCAGTTGGGGATGAGCCGGGGTTTGATTCGGGGTTCGGGTTTAGCTTCTGTATAGGCGGTTCGGCAGTTTCAAAAGCAGTTTGAACTTAGGATCTTGCTGGGATCGACCGCTCTCTGCTGGTTCGGCTTGTTCTTATTGCTGGGGAAGGGCTTCGTATATTATTTAGGTTTTTGTTATTTTTCGTATTTTGTTGATTGTGTTTGTGTTACTTGTGTCTTGTGTTTTTGGTTTGAGCCGTTGGCCTCTGTGCGCCCGAGTGTCACCTTATTATCCTGTTGGGACTTGACACTTGGGTATTACCCTGTTGGGGTCTTTGTGTTGTTTTTTTTTGTGCTTTTTAGTGTTCTTGAGTATTTCCCTGTTAGGGTCGGCTCTAGGCCGTCTTTTGACCTGCCCTCCCACTTTTTCAACTGTTGGCTGTTTGTATTCAGTTGGTGGCTGCTCTTTGCACATTTGTGCGTTTTATATAATATCTATAGCGTTTCGAAAAAAAAAAAACAAAACATATATATCATAATGATGGCAAGTCTTGTGCTGTGATCATAGATCCTTTCATAAAAGAAAAGGGGAACTATAAATTAAATTAAAGAGGCCTAAATCTCTCATATTGGTCACATTTTGATAACGTCGCATAATAGTTCATTACCAATATTCTGAGAAAAACAATATATATTTTCTTTATACAAGTTACCAATTAGTCATTCAACATACTATCTCCCATTCGATTGCACAGTGATATATATCGCCGGAAAAACTCTTTCCACAACTAACTTCCACTCGGTTGCACAGTGAATATTTTATAATCTTATCTCCGAAAAAACTTAGTTTCTAGGACCAAAACATGTCATGATAGATGTATTTTTTTGTGTTTAGTTCATCGTGCCATGGACAAAAGTCGTTTTGGGTTCACTTCATCAAAGCGATGATTTAGCTCTTGAGCTTGCAAGTCAATCACTGCATAAAATAGATCAACTCGATAACGGTGAAGATTTCTCAATTTTTCACTTTGAACCTTCCATAATTAGTATAGTTATCTCATGATCACTACAAAACTTTGAGACTTCAACCGACAAATTAATCCTCCCAACCATTTTGTCTCATCTCTTGGAGACGGAATTTTGCCACTTGAACAAGAATGAATGCATTTACAACATCTTGATTTTTTCTTTGTAGAACTCGAGATAACTAATGTATGTAAGCCAAATATAAAGATAATGGCCTCAACCCTTTTGAAATCATCATTCCCTATTCTCCCAAAAATACTCCATAACATTGACAACATATGAAAATATAAATGCATTAAGTTAATAAGAGTACCACAATGATAACTGAATCAGAGTGTCTCCTGATAACTTCAAAATCATTTCTTGATTATTGATTTGAATGATCCTGTATTAAAAGCTAATTTGGCTAAAAGTATGGGTCATAATTATTATGGAGAACCCGTGTGGGAACAATCTTTCTGATCTTTATGCTACCATTTTCATTCCCTTGGATGTCTTTTTCCATTTGGGTTTCTTGAAGCATGTATCAGTTCTTACAAGAACCTCCAACTACATTACGTATACGAGTAACAGTATTTAAGAAAAGAACATACACTTGTACGATTTTTAGCAACAACATCAAATGTGAACTGGAGCTGATGAGCAAAACAATGGATAAGCACTAGAGTTACTCATTAGCATCAGTTATTTTTATTTTTTTTTTTATTTTTACCATTGAACTCACCTCTCGTGTTGTCAATTCTATCCTTACCCTGCCCTCTAAATGTGAAAATTCTCAGGCTATAAGCACAAAACAAAGAATAAGTACTTTTCTCGAGTGATGTTGCAGTTGTATCACTATCATCAAACAATTCAAAAAAAAAAAGAAGTTCAGTGATACATGCATGCATTCTTATTTATACAACAGATAAATGTAAACCTCATCAAGGATCTTGAATAAATAATTTGGTGTATACGAAATACTTACTTGATGCGAAAGATGACATAATTAGTGATCTTGATCTTGATGATCACACAAAGCTTGATCGATTGTTAGATCTGAATTAGTTACTCCTCCCGACCCGTTCCTTAACGTAGCAGAAAAACTGATGGAAAAATACTGCGTACCCTAATAAGAGGAGAGAGGATTAATTTATATAGGGGTGCTTTAGATCTGGTACGTCCATCAAATATCTAGATTAATGGCTTAGATTTGTTTGACCATTAATTAAAGACCTAGCCCAATAGTATAATTAATTGTGAGCCCAATACTTTCGGGCCACATATTCTTACAATAAAACCGCCCATTTTCTCTTTGCTTGATACACAGTACACTCATAAACTAAATAGAGAAAAAATCATTTCCAAGATCTTCGATAATAACATTCGTTGTTTCAACTACAACCGCATTTATATTTTCTTTTTAGTCTTAAGAGAAGTGAGTTTAAGATTTTCAGGAGCATTTTCAGTACAACATTCTTTATTCCTCATTAAATGAAGCTAGAACTTCTAGAAGTTCAATGAAATTTCCCTTGTTTAACGATCCTTTTAGCTCATCATTCCCTCAAAACGCAAACCCTGACTAAGAAGATAGCCAAAACAAACAACTGAAGCATTCAATCTACAACGATACAAATCTTGTATTGATTTGAAAATTTACAAATAGACACTTCAATGTGCTGTGCTTGATTGGCATGAAGATACTTTCTACCATTCTTAGTAATTTCACTGTTCTTTTGCATTTAATTCCCCTAGAATGTATAGTGGTACTCAGTTCAGTTTTGAAGCTGAAAAGCATGCCCATTTTAAAAGTGGGGTCATATAATTCAACAGATTTAAACACATGAAACTTGACCCACTTATTTTCTTCATCGTAGTTGCATTCACTCTGCAACTTATCATTGTAAACAACATCTTGTTCATCACCAAGTCTCTCACTTTCATCTAAATAAGTATCATTAACTATATTCTGAGATCCTAACCATTCAGCATGAACACCAATATTTTCATCAAAAAGTTTATCATCTAACTTATCCTCCATCATATCATACTCCCATTCAAACAAGCCATCACCCTCATCATCATTTTCACTAATATATTCTTCTTCCCTAACATCCACATTACTAGCCTCCAGAGCCCCTCATTGCACCCTCCTGCAATTGTTTGGACTTCATAAAAAACAACCCAACCCTCTAAAACTTTATAGTTGTTTTTCACAAAATTGTTGAAACTCATTTTCTGTAGTAATCAACATAATTCGCAGACCCCCCACATATGTGTAAAACCTCATAGGTTTAGAAATATCTTGCCATTATGCAATGGACATGAAATCACCCAAAGTCACAGTCCACATAGTCAAAAGGTATGGCCTCCCCACCTAGGTATGTTGAACCTTCATAATCAATATAAAATGTCCCTCCATAATGAAAACTCACGGTCAAATATTTACTTTGAGATCCTGAAAAGGTAGACAAACAATAAATAAAATTCCTTATGCGAATGTGTCACTATTTTCCAATATTAAATAAGGTAAAGAAATAAAACAAAAAAATAATAATAAAAAACTTGTTCCAAGATTCTCCTATCTCACATGGTCCTACATGTTCCCTGATTATTATTCAACAAAGCTCAATGAATGCAATGACACATACTACAAATACACACACATCAAAGCATAACAGCAAAACAGAACACTCCAACATCAGCCTTTCTCACCAAAAAATTAACCGCATAAATCCGATTCAAAACCTACTTATACAAATAGCACGTCAAGTTACCGCATAAATAACAAAATTACATACCATATACAGGAGTGGGCAAATGAAGATCTCTAATCCGCCTTAACTTGATTTCATATTCTGAAACATGCAAACCTTGAGCTATTTTTTTGCTAGTACTCAGGTTTCGAACTGATTTTTTAATTGTTCTTAGGACGATGAGAGATCCAATTTTTCATGTCTAGGTTTAGAATGGGGAAGTCGAATTCAATTTCATTTTTCTGATTTAGGGCTTCGATTTTCTCCCATTTTATTGGACAATATTTACTTGTCCACGTAATCGCTCCGTCATCGCTACATGAAATTTAGTTATTTTAGGTAATAACGTGGAAAATAGGAATCATGCATGTAGGCATTTTATCTAGCCCGAGTGATTAATGGACCAAATATGATGAATTTTTCAACTCATTATATTAAGTCTGGTGTCCGCCAAAAAGTGAAGCATTCCTGGAAAATGGCCAATATAATGGACCAAAAATAAAATTTTGCCCATTGATATATGTTAAAAAGTTTAGTTATATTTAAGGTGGTGTTTGTTGTGTTTCCCCCCTTCCTTATGGAAGTGTAATTTAGCTAGTTAGCGCGCGGACTTTGTACATGTTTTGATGTTAGATATACAATCTTTTGTTCTCATTTGATCTTCAATTGCTTTGTACTGAAGTGGATTAATTAAACTAAGCATCAATCAATAAGAAAACATTTTTTTTTAGATCATAAATTCTGGAAATTACTGATACATCGACTGCACATCTATTTATGTATGGAGGTTTTAAAATTTATGGGCCGAAGAAAAATCGAGCGTATAGAATTCGTGTTTGTGTGGATTTTGTAAGTGATGAATCCTATTTGTTCCTTTTAATCTTGGGAAAACTGTTTCCAGGACCAATGGCTCTTAAGAATGCATCAAATGCTGGATAATTTACGCGAGCAGGTGAATTATTTCAAGGATCAGCCCGAAGTTCCGAAAGAAGGCAATGTACTTGATAAACAAGAGAGCGGATTAGCCGATTAGGCAAATATCCGGACCAGGCTATGTCGGCTGAGGCCCACCTGTTGTGCCCGGGCCATTAACGAGAATGGTCAGATGGTGGGCTAGCTATGTCTAATCAGGCACAATTTGTTTGGCTCTGTGTACGTATTTGGGGGTTGTGTTATTTGATGTGGCTATGATCACTCTTCATATGCATCGTTGCATAGATTCTTAGATTCCAACTTGAAAAGAAAGAACACACTCATTCTTTCCATTATTACATGGATCTACCAAATAGACTACTCACAGCCATATTTTATTTTTTGTCTCCGAACCCCACATTTTAATAATCAATCAACTCGCTCGATCAAATCTTTACCCAATTAACCGAGATGTCCTGTCTTATGTGGCGGAGCACCACCGGGATTGTGACCTCCGGCGCGCTGAGGTGCGGCAGGTGGCCCTCGGTCGGCATCACCTCCACAACTGACGGACCTCCCAAGTTCTTCCTCAGGTACTCCCCCACCGCAACTGGGACCATATAGTCCTTGGAGCTCTGGATGATGTGGCACGGGACTGTGACGTGGCCGAGATGGGGCCTCAGGTCGAGC